TTCGATACATCGGTTGACTAAGTTGTCATCCGAGTTCCAGGCTTCAATCAATTCTCGGTATGTCTTGCTACCGGCGTGAGCAATCATCCTCGCAGCTGCGAAGTTAAATTTGGGATCCGTCCCATAGGTGTGGGCAGCCACCTGCGATAATTTGTCAACCCGTCGCACAGCCAGTTTATGTTCGTGCGTGTGAGAACCCAGCATGCGTCCAGTCTGTCCTGTGTACTTTCGGGGACAGTTAGGACATAGTATGCGATACATTGCACCCAACTGCTCCCTGGGATTTAATCGGTCCTTGATTCTTATGATCCGGCTGTGCATATCAGCCTTGGAACTGTGTGCACTTCCGACGCATGGTGCCGCACATGTGCTTAATTGGTCCATCGCCCCCTTTAATGGTTGATTGGTCCTGTCGCCCATGACCATTGCTTGTTTTTCGTTGACGCTTTTAGATCTGAGGATGGATTTCCACAAGATTTCTAAAGCTCTGAAAAATAAAATTATGCTTCTGGGGATCGGCAAGCCTTCTTTATCTTCTTCTCTATCCATACAAATAGCTGAGATGCGAACATTGGCCTCAAATTCTCTCACTTTCTGGTCTGTTCATTTGGTTTGACGACGAGTTAGTGTCATAAATTTCCCACTTTAAAAAATATTAACCAAATTCCTGTGCTCTGTGATAAGTCGGGCGCAAGAGAGAGATAGATGACGTCTTAAGCAACATAAAGTCGTTAACAGTGACTGCCTTGGCTGCAGAAGAGCGCGCCGGCCCAGCGCATGGCACTGGTGATGACTCACTTCGGCCTGACCACCAGGCTTTCGTTCACACTTGGGCGCGGGTATATTTTCTACGGCCTGACGTGCCAGAGACAATTTCAGCTTCATGAGATTCTTGTGCAAGCCTCGGAGAGAGATAATTTAGCAAGAATTGTCAACCACACTGTTAAGTGGAAGCGGAAACGTGGTGGTGAGGGTTGACATCACGACCTAGTCGTAGAACAAGACTTCATCGCACAATTGCTCCGTCGCACCCCCGCGCTCCACGGCATATTTTCCTTCATTATGTAGGTGGCTTTATTAGATTGCCGCGGCTCATTCATCTGGTTTTTGGACTGTTTTGTACGTCATCTATTACCTTGTTTTGTAGAAAGACAAATCGACGCCCACCGTCGGTATCTATTTTAACTGCCACGTACACGCTGTCCAATCGCAGTACCTCTTGCCTGCCGTCTTGATTCTTTCTACCCAGCTACCTGTAGACTATAAACGTCTGCCACTGTTAAGTGAAATCTTGAAGTCGTTTAATGCGTTCTATTGATCCTGCGAGTCGATATCCCAGCTTGGACGACTATGTTAGCTCTCGTTTGAAATTTAGCTCAGTGGAAAAACCTACTAACTTAACGATAGCACCCAATAGACACTATCCATGTTTTTGACAGGCTGTTACTGTTTGAACACGTTTGAGTACGTTTGCTTTAAAATGCACAAAACTCAATAACCGTATTGCTTGCTTTGGAAAATAATATTGTTATAAGTGTTTGTACGAAGAAAGCATGCTTGTTTTAAACAGGGGTTAATTATTTCTGCTTACTTAAAAACAGAATCTTAATTCTTCTGATGATTAAGCTCACGCAGAGGGTTGCATGTGCTTAAGGCCAATCCTTGATTAAACCAGAAGTAGAAGGTGACCCAAATAAGCATATGAAATTTGAAAATATTTTACCAGCTTCAAACCACGATATTGCCTTCCTACGCGTTTCAGAATTAAAGAAACGAATTTGCTAATGACGTAAGCAGAAAATAAATTATTTTTATGCAATTTTTAGCGCACAATTAATTATGCCTCGATATCGATAAAATGCAGACCACACATCTAGTCATCGTTTCGAGCGCTTTACATTACACAACGCTTGAACGGATGATAACCTCTGTTTGCTGTAACGACTAATTTAGAATTAAATTAAAAATTATAATATGTTGAATCAAACAAACTATTATTTGCTTTTAAGCGACGAGTACTTAAATTTTTATTTCATGTGCACCAAATGATTAACTTCTGAGAAATTCAAACGACTTACCCGTGATCGGTGCTTCCAATTCAATCAGGTTGTTTTCACCTTTAAAGATGGCCGCAGTGTCATTTATGATTTTAAGTGCAGCCTTCTCGGTGAGCCGACCCTCCGCAAAGAGGTGAGCTTTCAGCACGTCCAGTTTGGGTGGTTCATCGTCCACGAAGATCTCGTCAGTAGTTAAAAGTTGTGTGGGCGGTGGGATGGTGGCTATAAGGGATGCAAAAAATGCAATCACAATTTTCGTCGGAATAATACAGGCTTCACAAATTTTAATAAGTCAATTAAAATTAAAGTGCCAGCGACTCTCTTCTATCCTTGCTCTCGACTGGATTATTGAGAATTTGCTCTCGGTTACTGAGCTCACGAAATATACTCTACAAGATGTCTTAGATTTCGGGCAAAGGTCTTAACTTTGTAGTTTAGAGTATGTTTGATCACGTTATTTCGATTTAATGGATTCTATCCTGCGAAAGCATTGTAGTAAGGGAAACTGCCTTTCTAATTCAGTTTATTAAAGATTAAAAGGCATTAATTTTGGCATAATCAGGGGTAGCTTGATATCGAACAAATTTCATATGCTATTTAGTGCGATAGAAACAGACCTTCTTTTTTGTGCATTGTGCTATTGATGGACCCCAAAATAAGTAAGATAATTTTAAACACTTCCTTTTCCAAACCGAAAAAATGATCAAAAGTTGTTCAAACGAAACAAAAGCCAAGCTTAAGGAATCGAAATTATTTTCAGAAACAAGAAACCATTTCAGTTTTAAAAATTATTTTTTTGCTAATGTGTGAAGCTTTTTGCCACAAAATGCGGTACCAAAAACTTTTCTACCACATTTCGCTTTACCGCATCAAATATTTAGGACGTACCAAAACTATCCACATTTTATCGCGAGGATCGCGAAAAACATCTTATTTAATCTAAATAATCTTAAAGTATACTTTTCTGTATACTATACTTTCAGCTGATGCATAATTTAGAAGAGGAAAACCAGAAGAATAATAATTATATAGGTTATTGCTTAGAACAGAGCCCAGAAGTAATCCATCAGGGTGAAAAATACTCCAATATAAGGAGAAAAGTGAGTTCTTACCTTCTTAGCCAAAATGTAGCATTTCTCTTCAGGTAAATTAAAAAAAACTCGTCAAAACTCTCCATTTTCCTTTTGACATAACCTTGGAAAAAGGTTACATGCACAGACATTCGTTAGTTGTATATCTAATTAAACTGCTTTCTAAATAGATAACCTACTATACAAACCATTTTTTAAACGTTGGAAACAAAAATAGCAGACTTTTGTTGCGGACGTACCAATTGCTCGGCAATGTGTTCTGCTATTTAGAAGAAATTCTAAATATGGCCCGTATGGCCATTTTTATAAGATCTAATATCGAAAAACAATTTATTTTCGGTAAATGCTTTTAATTTGTATCTTCTTTTAAAGGTGTTGATATGACCATCAAACAGAATCTACTTTTATGAACCAAAGCTTGTAAACACAGAAAATAAACGAAATTTTGTCGGAATTTAGAGGTCAGTCTGTAAGTTTTTGTATTTAAATATCGGCAGAAAGCTTAAAATTTGTTGACCAGGCCAAAGTTATTTTGTGCTTTCAACTGAAAAAAACAATTATATTTACTTTTCCAGTTTATATAAATTTTTTGCTTCTAAGACATTTTTACACAGACGATTAGTATTTTTTCACATTTCTTTAAGTGTCATATTTGCCTAACGTTGTTTATTATTATTTATAAGTTTTCGTACATGTGTTAACCCCAGTATGCGAGTGATTATCAATTTTTCGCTGCCTTTGGCATTTTGCATGACTGCTCCGCCGTACTGTATTTTTACAACGTGTCGATTATATATTAGTAGTCCTCTACATTTCATGCTTTTAGTTTCATCCTACTTAAGTGAGAATATCTTCGCCACCTCAGTGGGTTGAGAACATCCAATTTTCTAACCGTCCGGGATAAGAGGACCTAACAAAACTCGTAAATAAGGCCACATTTATTTTCTCCAACTCTTCAGTTTAGCCCGATGTTTACAAATGGAGCGAAAGTTTAGCATTTCGCCTTATTTTTTTTGTAAAATAAAACACTCTTGTGACGCGATAATAAACATACTTTGTCAGAAATTAGCTAAGGGGAAAAGTTAACTTTTGGCTCAGATGATTGCTGGTAGAATCAATAAAGAAACGCTTCATGCCATTTCGTCAAGTGTAATATTTTCTCCGATTAAAACTGCACTGCTCAGACAAAGTTTCTTAACTTTGCATTAAACAGCCTGTAGGTCATCTTTTTTACGTCTGCATCAATTTCACTTCAGACCTACGCAAAATTTCATGGAGAACAGGTCATAATTGCAAGCGAAAACAGCCCAAAAAACTTCCCTAGCGCATTTGCCTTCTGCGTGAAAATCGCCACTTTCGTATTCTGACATTTTTGTGCGGTAAATCACAGTTTACTAATCCACTTTCAGTCATGATTCAGTCAGTCGTCTAGTTCTATTATTGCATGGCACACTGTGTACTGATTTTCGATTCTCACAGATACCCAAATACATTTATGGAAATTATGTATCAAATATGCGCCCTTGAAGTCAGTTGGAAGCAAGATATATCACCTTTCATTTTTATACCTGAAGAAAGGGTATATTTTTAACTTAAAATTCCTAATAATTCAGAACCTGACCTGTCGCTATACGTGTATTTGGGTGTTTTCAAACTATCTACTGTTTATTTTACAGGTAATGATATCATATATGCTATTAATACGATTTTATATAATGCATATCAATGTTTTGTAGCCTAATACGGATCATTTTGTACACTTTGCAAACAGCACGAATAAATGGGTAACTCTGATGCTTTGCGAATGGATACTTTGCAGTCCTAAAAGGTTTCATAATCTGTCACTTGTGTTTTTTTTGAAATAAAAAATTACAATAAAATTTTTATGCCTTGGAATATTTTCTTCAAAAAGCAACCATAATACATTCGCGAAGCAGGCACTGATCGAAGACCCGGATAGAGATTTCACGAATTCTTTGTCCCTGCACGACAGCTGGGTGGTTATCCCCTAATTCTTAGTGTCTGTTTTACTGACTGTCTTTACGTTCAGCAGAACAGCTAGACGGTAACTATGCTTCAACTGATGGAAATATACGTGAAAGTTCCTGAGGAAGTTTAAAATGCAGCACGTTTCAAAAACTTCATTTTAGGCGCTTATATTTGACGTCTGAGGAGATTGACAAGCCTTTGCTGTAATGCGCTCAAAAAGGCCATCACTTAAAAAGCCTTTCTCTAGAAGGACCATTTTCTGGTTCAATGCAAGCAATTTTGATTAAAGTGTCAACCATGTTTGACTGACGTTCAGTGACATGTGCTAGCTGCAGGATGACTCGAGGATGGCGTGCACCCTGCTGAGATCCTGGCAGATGCTTGCTGAGCAACGATCCAGCTAGAACCAACGAATCATTCGACTTTCAACTGATATTTTAGACTAACTTTAAACTCTCCTAGGTGTGTGAAGTTGACCCATGCCGGAATTAGGAGCTGAAAGGCAAGCTACCAAAATTATTTTATCTATTCCAGCTAGGACTATCGGGTTATTACGTTGGTTTAACCGCTTTTAGATCAGTTTTTGCAGTAGAAAAGCGTCAGTTCCCCCTGCATAGTTTATGCATTCGTGAAAAAAGGGAATCTAGGTGTCCAGTGTATCAATCTTTCTAACTTCATTTCGTTCACAAGGATGAACTGTGTGCATTGGTGCATACAGTATCAACTAAGTAGAAAGTACCCCGCGTCCAAAACTACCCGGGCATAGGTGAGCACGGCCTTTGGTTGGCTAGGCCTGACCGCACTTTCTTCGGAGCCGATTCGGAAAAGGAGACGTACTACTGCAGCCAAATCTAATAGTAATAATTAGATAGGCAGTATTCCACTGCTGGACTAGCGCGTTTATACGTCTGGCGTTTCCGATTTACGCCCAAACCAAACGTCAGAGGCCGCATTGCGCAGATATATTTAAAAAAGAGAATTTCCGTCTTTAAAAATGAGGCACTTGCTGAAGGCACCGACGATATTTGCTAAAACAGATGCTGGTCTCTAAAGAAACGAACCAAATAAATACACTGCGCTCCCGATCTAGACAAAATATCAAGCACGCAAGCTAGCATGCAGTATTCAGTTAGTTTGCCCTCATCAGGTCGTCTGTAAGTAACAGATTAACCGTGCCACCGTAGAAGTGAATGCACTAAAGATGGTTCTCACTCTTCAAGCGGTAAAGTATCTGTCTTCTTCTTTGACGATGGGTCCATTCGTGCAGCTGTGCTCCTTAAAGTTGCCCTAAGTTACCTCCAATTTCTCATGGATACTCACTGGAGCCAATTCTTGCTAATCTTTTTGAAAACGTACCGAAGACAGTATCATTTCTGGTGCTGTGGGGGCTTCGTCAGAGATCCTTTCGGTTCTTTTGCCTACGTACTGATATTTATGTTCGCACATATGCCTAAGAGAGTCGTTCTCCGTTTTTTTTATTGTGTATAATCTTTTTTGCAGTATAGTGAGCAGGTTTTTATTGATTTAGAACACTTACATTCAAACGGAAGGTTTAAAGCCTAGCCTCTTTGTTACTAAAAATCGTCGCCCGATTAAGTGGCTACAAAGGGATGGAACTTATTTGAATAGAGTGGTTGCGAACCCACGCACAGTCAGAACTATATGGAATGAAAGTCAACTTGACGCTCCGATAAGTGCTAACGGTAAGGGAGTTTTAAAGCTACGGTTATGGAGCAGAGCAAGTAATAAGTGACATTCAACATGACCAGATATGGATGAAAGGGGTTAGGACCCCGCTCATGCAGTAGCAATAAGAGCCCTTGCGGCAACACTTTAAACTAAACAAGCGAAAATTCCGGATGTACACCTCAGTTTATCCAGACCTGCGACTGCCCATGGCAAACTGAATACTGTTTTTGAGGGATCAACTAACCAAATAAAAGTCCTTTTTTCTCCGTAAGTAGTTATTTTTCTGTATATATTGTTCCTCATTATATGAACTGTCCATCAATTGTATTGCTTGTTCTTTTTCTCTCTGATTGACGGATAAGCTTAAGTCGAAAAAGTATCATTTTTGTTGGAGGCGCAATGCCTAGCCTAGTAGACATTTTTTCGGTGCTCCAGAACATGCATGTATTGTTTTCAGTAGGTTAGTGGGGAAGAAAGCGGGGGGCAAGCCACGCAATTTGTCTTAAACATACGTTGTATATTCTAATAACAGTAGTAGGGCACAGCCCCAAGATATGAGAGTTGAAATCACGGCGTTGCCCTCTTCCTCCTGTTATCGTGTTAAAAATTTGATCAATTTTTTGTTATGGCATGGGGGACTTGCGGGTACACTAATATGCGAATGAGCGCCGCGCTAGCCACCGGCGTGCTTTGGACCACATTTTAATTTCCCTACTCTGGTTTCCTAGGTCTCCGATACAGCATAGAATAAGCAGATGTTATCGCTGGAACGGTAAATTTATTTAGCTGAAGTTCCGAAACCCATTGCGGTCCATCCTCAGAGGCAATAGCAGAGGCGTGTAGTCCATACACTCGGAAGTTGCACTATTTACGATAGAGTCACTAGGCTCCTGCAGCCCTGTGAATATAAATGACTTCTGTCTTCCCCGCTTGTAAGCTATTTGCTCAACGGCCGCCTTGCGCAGAGCTTTCCTCACCCATGCTGGATTCGGACGTGTAGTTACGGACGTCGGACAAAACTGGAAGGCTTCTCAAGACGCTAGTTAACCTTTCTATCAATGGGTCTTCGAGACAGCGCAATGTCAAGTCCTCGTCGTTAAACTCAGTCCGTGCACATATTCTACAGTTCAGAGTTGGTTTCAAAGTTGGCGTTTGTTTTTTCATCTCGAGAAGCTTTCGCAACTTTAAATCACTAAGGAGATGTATTCTAAAAATGTAGAGGCCGTTGTTCGACTTCTTCCTTGCCGGCAGCAGAATTAGTTGGTGTGTTTATGAATGTAATTTATGACTGTGTAGATAAATATCCCCACTAAATTGCTTAATTATTTTTTCCTCGGATTAAGTAATGTAGGGGTGTGGATAGGACCATCGCAGATTGAACAGTCATTAATCAGAGCAAATTCCATAAAAATTTTATGTTAAGCATTAAGACATGAACTGACGAGTGAAGATAGTTTTTCCAGTCTCTTGCACAATATGAAAGTTAACAGTTTTAGGTTGTCTTATTTTCGCCCCAGTAGTTAACTCCAAATACTAGCTACGCATAAAAATGTTCAAGCTACATTCAATGTTGGCCGTATTTGCTACCCGTTCATCCGATAGTCCAGCACCCTTATCAACAACACGACATCACACAGTGATGCCATCATGCAACGTAGCGTATGCCGACCACAAAAACAAGTTGCCCTGTTACACCCAGGCTATAAATGCGTCCCGAATTCAGAGGTAAAACACGGTCTAGGAAGCATAAGACATGCTTTTTTAAGGATTTCCTAGCCAACGCCTTTAAATGTCTCAGCGATATGACCGACATATTGGAAAAACATCGCCTAATCCGGTATAATATCAAACTTTTTTTTCCCAGAGCTCCTAGTATATCTTTCCTGACAAATGGGTTCTTAAAAATAAAAAAGATGTATGATAATAAGTTGGGTATTAGGACCTGAACACAGTGTGATAGAAGACTGTCATAATGCTGCCGAGTGTCATTGACGTGAGCGTTTTCTGTACGTCTATAGAACCGCTATAAAAAATAATTTTTCATGAAGTAATCTACTCGGGTTTTGTGTTTCCAATTAAGCGATTTACAATCCAAAAAGAATCCAATCAACGCAGGAACGCGTCGTCTGATGATGTATCTTTTGTCAGGGAGTGAAACCGAACAATTGAAAAAATTAATTTTCGTGGTAAGTTCGCGGTGCCATTTTCGACTTCCACACAAAAGGCGTATGCGACCTTGGACACGGTAAGTGCAGTTTGTAGCATCTGATGTATGTATAAGGCTACCATGAAAGAGTTTATAGCCGGTCGTAATGAACAAACAGTGCAATGCTTATCAGGGCTACTGAGGTCTAAGCGAAAAAAATACTGAAAGATAAAGTGATCTGCGGTGTACAAGTTCGGAAATAGAAGATGCGATCGCCGGAACAAGATGTTTCAGATTCTGTAGACAAGCCTTCATCAGAAGTAAGTGGAGAATAGGGTGAGATATGCACAGATTAGGATTGCGCGTTGTAAGTTCCAGAGGCGTATAAAGACCATCCGTTGCAAACCCATAAAACCTAGAGAATTTTTCTTGACATCCACGAAGGCACGCCAAAACTTTAAGTCGATTTTTAATTTGCCTCCTCTGGTTATCTACGTCTCCGCAGTCCCCAGATTATACCCTCTATCACTGGGTCATTAAGAAAAAATCAGTGCCCATGGCCTCTTCTTACGAATCATTCATCGCTAATATTCTACAGTGCAGCGTTCTTGACGGAATCGGCTTCTCTCACGTCGGATCGGGTAGCCGGCGTGAATTTACATCACCGAGTAAATGCATAAAAAACTTCGGAAACTGTTTTTTCTTCTTCTATATGGCTGGCAGCGTGTGTCGTTCGTGTGATTATAAAGGCGAGTAAATATCTGCATTAAATTGCTTCATGTTTTTTGCTTGGACTAAGTCACCTTGGAGTGCGAAAAGGACAACTGCGGATTAAACAGTAACAAGCTAGCTATGCAAATAAAATTCCGGGTTTTAAGCCTTAAGATTGATCTTTAGTTAACCTGGCATAGAGGTGAGCTCGGATGCAGGTCAGTGAAGAAGACCGGAGGTGTGATAAGGCGTGAGCCTGTACCTACGCGAACCATCATGCCCCCTCCCCCTATATTCGGCATTTATTATGGAAGTACAATCCGAATAACGCCTGTCGTGCACTGAGCTGGCTCTCGCTTTCATTTAGAGCATCTATTATGGGGCCTGTTTAGAGCGCAAACACACATGATAGTTAAACTGCCGATTTAGAAAATAACCACCGCGTGTTTCGCAGCAGATTGACTCAGGGACCATGACTTGCATTGCAGCTACCTCACTCTTGCTGCTCCATTTCCCCACTCAGCTTTGGTGTCAAGAAAGAGTTCAAAAGACAACAGGTTTGACAGGGCACAGACCCGCGCACTAAAGGCCACCGCAACCCAGGGTACCACAGCCACATTATTAAGGAGCCATTACAGCCTGACTCTCGGTCCGCCAGTCAGCCACTCCACAGAACATCACACGCACACTGAGCTTACCGCTCAGTTCGAGTTATCCAGCCAGTTGACAACCCTCCAATCCATGGCTTTTAACGCATCGTTTTAGCTTTAAACGCGTCAGATTGTTAGTAGTGAGGGAATGTCGGTGAGCCATTGACGTCACTCGCACCCTAATCGTCAGCATCAGGCCACCTCCGAGCTGGTAATTTCTCCGAAGTGGGGTGGGCGACAAACAGGCAAACTACAGAATTATGATAAACTGTCATGCTGGTAACAATTATGCATTAAAACTGTAGAGGCTAAAATAATATCCACTTTTCCTGCGTTGTACGCACTGACAGGTCAAAGGAGGTGCCATGTGCGCTTGTGACCGAAATTTGACATTTCAGACAACTGAACCCACCGCCCAGTATCGATGACAGAAAACTTGACAAGCCTTATCTTTTATTTATATGGTTGTAGGAAACTGTTAATGTTGTTTTTCGTGGTTTTATAATGCTTAGTAATTATAAGTACAGGTTCACCGAAACAATGCATTTGCGAAAGCGCAGGGGAGTAGTGGGAAATATTGTTCATCAGCAAGGCATATCCTGTGAGCTTCATTGTAAAAATTGTGTGGATTTATTTTGATGGTTTTCTAAAATATCCAACAATTTCATCTATGTTTGGCCTTTTTCCGGTAACTGATTGTCTTACAAACGCTATTTTCTACGATACGATTCCACATTATTAAAGTCTAACACGAAGAAACGTGATCTGCACAATAAAGGGCAGATTAAAGTGCACTTTCTTTCGCTATAAATAGGCAAATCATAAAGACAGGTCAGATTATAAAAACGGTCTAAGGAAGGTCTTATATGCGCTTTTTACCACGTTGACATTTCGGATAACTGAATACACTGCCCACTGTTGATGACAGGAGGTTCAAAATCCATCACTATTGTTTATATAGTTCTTGGAGTTGATTATAACTAGTGTCATGTGATATCTTTTTGAGGGTTAGACAACTCCCAGGAATTGCAAAAGCAGATTCAATGAAACACTACATATCCGAGAGAGCGCAGGAAGTCTTGTTGTACATAGTTCAACTGTAAAGCAGATTCTGTGGCCATTTTTTGACATTTGGGGGCATATTTTGCCAATTTTTTAAACTGCCAATGAGGAATTTTCTGATGAGCAGTGTGAGGGCTAATTCCCCAAAACAATAGCTTTATTTGATCTTCTTTGGTTTATGTACCAGCTGAATTTCGGAGGATATAAACTGGCCAAGAAAGAACCTGGGGCATAGAGATCGACGCAGCGAAATACCCGTATCGAGGCGCATCATAGTATTAGCTATGGGCTTACGCGGGATCAGAACTACCACATTAACGGGTGCAGTGAGCCATTTTGATGCCGTTTCAAGCAAACACGTATGTAGTGCGCAGTGCGTTGTGAGAGCCTAATACATACACGCACGCAAACAATTCAGAAGAACCCCAGCCTCGGGCACTCCTTCAAGGCGCTTTCTTCAAATTAATTAAATGCAAGTCAAAATTTAATCACTGTGGCTGTTGAGAACCCCGGTATATGCTTGGTACTTTTCCGGTAACCAAATATCATACAAAATTGTCGTCTACGACATGATTTCCTATTGCTAGAAGTCAAACACAGAAACGTTATCTGCCTTGCAGATGGCAGATTAGTGTTCGTTACCTTTGCGCTATAAATTAGCGAAACGCTATGACAGGGCAGATTATACAAACGGGCAAAGGAAAGGCTGATATGCGCTTGACATTTCAGGAAAGTGAACCCACTGCCCATTGTTGATGACAAAAAGTTCGAAGCCCGTCACTTTTATTTATATAGCTGTCAGAATGGATTATAGGTAGTGCCATGTGGTGTTTGTGAAGGTTTAGCAACTCCCAGTGATTGGAGATAGTGCATATGCGAGAAGGCAAGAAGTACTGATACATATAGTTCAGCTGTAAAACATATTCTGTGGCGTATTTTCTCTGACGTTTTGTGGGCTTATTTTGACCGTTTTTTAAACTGACTTTTTCTCCAAACAACAAATGTACTTTTTGTTAAGCGCTTCGACTGAACAAAGTGACCATGAACCAGACACAAAGGCCTAATGGAGCAGATACGTTTGGCTAATGAGTATTTAATTTCACTCTAAAGAGAAACGTGGTTTGCCATTGACCTCCGGGATCCCTGTAACTTTTAATGGGTGTATTCCACAGTCCAGGAAGACATTCTCATATGAAATCACAAATGCCTCATCAACTTAATTGCGTTTGTAAAATGTAGAGTAAGTTACTTTTACGCACATTAATCGGGGGTTGCATTTTAATGTTTAATCAAACTAATCGGTAATTCAACCTCTTTACATCACAAAACCAAAGCTTTTGTATGGGTAAGACGTTCACAACATTTTGCATTGACTCAATAGACCTTTTCTATTTGACAAGCACATTGAGGTATCGTTTTATTCTAGTCAACATAATTTTTTTAAATAAATAAAATTTTAGACCTTTAAGTAGGCTAATTGAAAGCTATATTTTTGGAAAAAAATTTATCCTAGCCGTCGGTTAGATTAAATGGCATGAAATATAATATAGCCAATGAAATTACTTTAAGTGGGTGTTAACCACATGCGTTAAGATATCTTGCGTAAATACAAAACCACGAGTCAAGGTAAGCACAAATGGCCTGCAGCATATAGGAATGATTAACGAAAAAAGAAGCACTTTCAAATTTCTACCCGGACTCTATTATATCCAAAATTCGCAGCTATGCTGCAATGATTTTTTTTCGTATATGGGGCCTTAAAGTACCTAGGCTAGAGTAAGTGGAACTAAACCTCAATTATTTGCTTTTATTTGTGACACAAAAGGTAACGCAGGGTATTTTAAGTTGCGGTGTATCGAACGGCACGGGGCCACGTCAAGTTCGAAACGGCGTAAATGGGAAGAGACATTGACAATCGTGTGAACGGTCAGGTGCTGGATTCATGGTTCGTTGACCTCCATTCCGTCAAAAAATGCAACGATATTTCTCTCAATTTTCAGCATTCAGTATTTTTCTGAGACCTGGATTAGCCTCGCTAGTGAGCAATGCTACAAATGGCAGCCTCGATATGTCTTAGTGCTGACTAGATGTCACACAAAGTAAAAAAACTAATAATTTAGTCGGGACCATTATTGACTAGAATTCGGTCTACGAATCAACCATCAGACTAGGTAGGATCAGCTGCAGCTGTAGTGAATGCAGAATCAGAAAATATGCGGTGAACAAATATAAATTGCAATAGGAGTGTCTCCTTCTTCCGACATTAAGTCATGTTGGCCTTTTTTAAGGTAGACTTAGATTGTCTCGCCTGCATTTTGACAGTTCTCAGTAGAGTACGGTTTTACGAAGAAAACATATAATTGCAAAACCTATCCCATACAGTTTTCATCATCGAGCATTTATTCCGTTTTCAAAAATAAAGTAATCACATCTCGGTCGATTAAGCTATTCAGCCAAAGGCCCCTAAAATCGGTGGTTCCATTTTCATGTTTCCTCCTAGAGGAGTAAAGTGTTGGTGGAAGCAAAAACGTTTTCCATCCACGTTTCTGAATGGGTGTATTCAAAATTTTACACTTCGAATAGCAGATCGAACCCTCAGGTTATTTCGGTCAATGTGATATTCACGTTCTGTTGAACAACTGTACTGTTTAAACATTAATAAGTCTAAGTAAAAGATCTTCTTTTACAAAGTTTTTTTTCCTTCCTAAGCAGCAATGTATTCAATTGGTATGCGTGCTCAATTCAGGGCCAAACAATTCGTTACCACTGTAACACCGGTCAGATTTAAATGCATCTAATTGAATATGGTCAATAAAATTTGCTTTGAATTTGTCTTACATACAGTACGCGCCAGAATTCATGTGAAAAGTGCTTGATTGTTTGGACACGATTAACGAAAGCAGAAATACTTTCAACTTGCAGACAGGGCTATGTCAGCCAATTTGAGGCGACATTTGCAGGTGTAAAAATAAGGCTTTTAGGTGCCTACTTCATTGTGCATGTCAAAATGCTCCCGAGTTCTTTGCTTCTAATTTGCAACACAAAACGTAGCCTGATACATTTTAATTTACGGCTCATTCGACGGTACTCGATCACATCACCAAGTTCGAAACTACGTAAATGGAAAGATGAGGTGATAATCGCGTGAGTCGTAAGCGCCTGAATCATGGTTTGCTTACCTTCGTCACTTAAATGCAGTGAAATTGCTTCCAATTTTCAGCCATCAGAATTCTTCTGAGACGTACATTAGCCTCGCTATTAGCGTACGGGCAAGCAATGCCACAATTGGAAACATCAGTGTGTCTAAGTGCTGATTAGTTATCACACCAATATCAAACACTTACACTTTAATCGTGACCATCACCGGCTAGGAGTCAGCCGATGAATCGACTATCATTTGCGACAAATGCATAAATAGGAATGTCTTAGAAAATATCTGGTGGCCAGGCATATGTTTCACTAGTCTCGCCTTCTTGTTCGGGCACTGAGATAAATTGTATTACGATATTTACTTGACTCGCTAAAGCCGGGCTGGTTGTTATGCCTGCAATTTCCTCAAAAAAACCTATTTTTACAGTCCCATTGAGTACACTTCCACAGATCATTATATTTTAACGATCACTTTATTGCCAATAAAGGCAGCCAGCATGGGAGCTACAAAAAAATTATAAATGCGTTATTTCATCATTGTCCCTGATAGCATACTGACTTGTTCTACATATTATTTCTTCTAAACAGCTCAGCTGCTTCTCACTTCCCGCTTCCTGATCATTTATTCAACAAGTGGCAGTTATGTAAAGCAGCATAAGTTAGCTGACGTTTACGCCTATTAATCAAAAGTCTCCTTCGTCTATTTTGGTAAACAATTGGATGGTTCTTGTCGTTGTCCGATTTTGCAACACAACCTCATTCAACATACTATTTTTATTATGGACAGCAGACTTAGAAATTCCCTGACTATGTTCAAGCTGATTTTCCTCAACTTCATGTATATTAGCCGCTCCGTCGAAAGTGGGATTTTTCGTAAATATTTAAGTTTGATCGGAACTCCTCTGAACATTAAATGAGTCGCGGCGAATGCAGAGTAAGAAATGGCAATGGTTCCTTCTTCTTCGGTCACTAAGACCTTTTGGATAAAGAGATTTACTTGGCTTTTTAAAGCAGATTTGCTTGTTTCTCCTGCATTTGCATCTGACAAACGTATTTTGACAGTTCCCTCATGACAAAATTTCAAAACAAAATTGTAATTTGACACTTGTTGATGAAAGTTCTATCTGTTTAGACGCTATGTGGCTGTCAGGACCGGAGAAATGCGAGATCGGGACACGCATGAGTTCCACTAGCTTTCGGTGAACGTTCATCAGCAAGTTTTAATATTTTCTGGCCTAAACCGAGCTTGTGGCTAAACGTTTAGAAAATTAGACTCTGATTAAAATGGTCACGAATTCGAGGATCGAGCAAGACACCACTTGGGTCTGGGTATGACTGGCTGACGGCGGCTAGTAAGCTAGAAATGGCTATTCAAGTCTTCCCTGTCTTTCCTGGCAATAATATCTGCCTGATTTTTAATTTTTGGACAACTTTATTGCGAATAACGGTAGCCAGAAATAGGACTACAAAATAACTTAAAAGTGCGGTATTTCATAATTTTTTCGCACGCGTATTGATACATTAAATTAATAGTATTTTGAGAAACAACCATTAACGTCTAAAGAATGGATTACTTTGGGGTCATTTTCTCTCAGCTGTCCGTAAAGTGACGTTTGTTTAAAAGGAAAAATTGCAAATGTTCCTATAAAACAGGAATTTGAAAAATGCACTTCTCTGATATGTTGATCGTGCAGTCAAAAAGGCCAGATAGACCATTTTTTTCGCCTCAAAAAAGGAAATTTGAAAGATCCAATTTTTTTCGTTCAACGATAAGTCTCTTTCCGGTTCATTTTCTCTTAGCTATCATTGGACTGCGTTTAGTTAAAAGGAAAATAATAGCGAAATAATGCGCTCCTAAGAAAAATCGCAAATATTTTTCTAAAACCGCGATTTTAAAAATACATTTCTCTGAAATGTTGATTGCGTATTCAAAAAAGGAAATATTTTGTTTTTAAGGTAGGCAAGTTTTTCGGCTCGAAGAGGAACTATAAAAGCATTGTTTTTTTCCTTTCAAGGATACGGTTTTTTCCGGGATTTTCTACCGTAAACGGACCCATTTTGCAAAGTGAATGTTTTGGCAACCTTGAAAGCAGTTGGCCGATGCAGTCGCAACTGTAACTGTTC